TGTGAATCACTGGAAAAGTTTAGCATGGTAGCGGAGCGCTGCACCAGGGATTCCTTGTGTCTCTCTGAAGCAGTGCTCAGGGGCCAGGACCCAAGCCCCGTAGGAGAAAGCACGACAAGCAGACACGGCAAGGACGCGTCTTGTTGGTTCCTCGAGCTTTTGACCTCAAAGCTTTGTGAGGGATCAGGACTTCACTTGTCTTTGGTTGGTAAGGATAAGCGCGCCGGGTAGCTGCAGACGCCAGAGCACAACTTTGGCAGTAGAGCCATGGATGCAGCTGAGCTTGCCGCTCAGCAAGCAGCAGCAGCTGCAGTGCCCATGCCAGAGATTGATGGACCAGATGGTCTGCCTGAGCTAGAGCCCATAGGTGCAGGTTTGGATGCTGTGTTGAACAGAATGAGTGAGATGATGGCAGCGTCCACCAATGCCGCCAGTGTTGCAGCAGCAGCCCTGCAGTCGATGCAGAATGCACAGGCTGCTACCAGTGCCAGGTCGGGGTTGGAAGGCCGAGATCTTTTGAAGATTCTTCCAAAGCCGGACGCCTTCAAGTGTGACAAGGCTGATGATGAGCACAGCAAGTGGCATGCCTGGTGGTGGACATTTCGCCAGTATCTTGTTGCAGTTGATCCAAGCTTTGATGGAGAGATTGCCACTGTAGAGCGTTCCCTGAACACGCCTGTTGTGATCATGAGTGCAGAGCAGCAGGCCCGGAGCTTTCAGCTGTATGCCTTGTTGAGCGCCCTTATCAAGGGGCGAGCCTTCCAGACAGTCAAGCAGATCAGTGGTCAGCAGGGCTATGAGGCCTTGCGCATGCTCTTGCTTCAGTATCAGCCAGCGTCCAGAGTGAGATCTTTGGGCATCTTGAGTGCCCTCACGCAGATAAAAGGGTTCAATTCTAAGGAGCCCTACCTTCCCCAGATATTGGAGCTTGAGCGAGCGTTTGAACAGTATGCCATCGCAAGTGGAGAGGATGTGCAATCTTCTTTGAAAAGTGCCCTCCTCTTGCGATCCCTGTCAGGAGTCATGAGGCAGCACATCTGCGCCGCGCTGCCCGAGGATGCCTCGTATAGTGTGTTGAGAGAAGCAGTGCTGCGTTATGAGCGTGTGCAGTTCAAGTGGGGTGTCAACAATGTGTTTGCGCAAGACAGTGTGCTGCTTGGCCATCGGCAGCATCATGATGAGAGCACTCCCATGGAGATAGACAGGGTTGGCAATGTTGGCAAGGGTAAGTATGGCAAGCCAGGTCACGGCAAAGGCAACAAGGGGAAGGACCAGAAGGGCAAAGGAAAAGATGGAAAAGGGAAAGGTAAAGGTGGAGGCAAAGGCAAACCGTGGCAGGCCCAGGACTGGAGGTCCAATGGCAAGGGCAATAAAGGCAAAGATCCCAAAGGTGGAAAGGGAAAAGGAGGAGGAAAGGGTCGACTTGACCCTGATGTCTGTGGAAACTGTGGTCGCCGTGGCCACTGGAAGAATGAGTGTTGGTTTCAGCCACAGGGTCGTGTGCAGCAGGTGGCCGATGATGGACAGCAGTCGCAGGCGGTGCCTTCCTCGGCAGCGTCAACAGCTTCCCAGGCCACTGCCAGCACTAGAGCGCCTACCCTCAGCAACCGTCAGGTGAATCGTGTCTATGCGAGTGTTGCTGAGAGTGATGAAGAGATAGATTTGACTGTGTTTTCGTGCGCAGGTGAGTCAAGTGTTAGGGCCGTGCAGGTGCAATCATGCCCCGTGCAAGTGCAATCAGGTCCCGTGCAAGTGCAATCAGGTCCCGTGCAAGTGCAATCAGGTCCCGTGCAAGTGCAATCAGGTCCCGCACAGGTGCAATCAGGTCCCGTGCAAGTGCAATCAGGTCCCGCGCAGGTGCAATCAGGTCCCAGGCAAGTGCAATCAGGTGCACAGGTGCAATCAGGTCCCGTGGAAGTGCAATCAGGTGCACAGGTGCAATCAGGTCCCGTGCAGGTGCAATCAGGTGCACAGGTGCAATCAGGTCCCGTGCAGGTGCAATCAGGTGCGCAGGTGCAATCAGGTCCCGTGCAGGTGCAATCAGGTGTGCAGGTGCAATCAGGTCCCACGCAGGTGCAAACAGGTTCCGTGGCAGGTCAACAGGCCAGTGCACAGGTTTCAGCTAAAGCCTCGTGGTATGACATGTCATGCACAGATGGTGACACAGAGTGGGTCGTTTGTGAGCATGGATCGTGTGACCAGTCGTCCGAACATGCATCATGTCCTGTCCAAAGTGTCATCCGTGCTGCAAGCTTTGGCCATGGTCGTGACTCTCAAGGTGTTGAAGTTGATGAGGTTACAGAAGTGGTGCTGGACTCAGGTGCCGATGAGTCATGTTTGCCGTATGCGTATGGCGCAGCAGGTTATGCCGCAGATGTTAGTCAGCCAGCCAGCTTCTCCGATGCACAAGGAAACCCGTTGAAGGCGTATGGTTGGCGCTATGCACAGGTTGTCCTGGACAACGGTGTGACTTTTCGCGAAAGGTTTCTGGTGACTGACGTGACGTCACCTCTGCTGGCATGCGGGAAGCTTTACAAGGCTGGCTGGAGTGTGCAACACATGAACAATGAGCTAGTGCTCACCAAGGGTTCCCGTCGTGTGCCGGTGCGGTTCAGGCACAATAGCTTGGTGGTTGAAGGCAGCATTCGAGCTGTGATGAGCAAACCAGAGGCATGCAGAGTGCGAGTCGTTTCCTTGTCGCCCGTGCTTGAAAGGATGGTGGAAAACAGTACGGAGTTCTTCGAGGAGCTCATCCCTGGAGTGTATGGACTCAAGTGCGAGTCCAATGCATACCTTGATGTAGGGCTGTACCTTCCTAGGGAAGGAATGCAGTATCGCACCACACTCGTGTGCGTGAACAAGGCCAACAGCCTCTGGGAGTTGTGCGAGATGTGCCAAAGCATAGCAACATTGGATGTGTTGGATGAGCAGTTTGAAGATGGTGCTGAGCGCACCATGTTGACAATTGCCTCTAGAGAAGTGCTGTCGCCTGAGCAGTTGGGAATCATCATGCCTGAGGCTGCTGGCGATGGTGCTGCAGCAGTGGTGCCTGCCGGCACGCCCGAAGGCCAGGCAGACTCTGACATGCCGGGCACCCCTGACCTTGAAGCTTTGTTCGCAAGTGATGATGACAAGGGAAAGCAGCGTCATGATGATAAGGATGTGCCCATGCTTGAGCAGGCAGCTCTTGAGGCAAGCGCCAGGGATGATGATGAAACAGCAGGTGATTTTGTTGAAGTGAATGGTGTGCGCATTGATGCTGATTCTGCGCTAAGTGTCATGCGCAAAGCTTGTGAGTACCTCAACATAGGCCGGTCAGGTGGCAAAGCCAAGGTGTACAAGCGTTTGTGCCAGCACCTGAAGCAGATGCAGCTTGCTGAAAGTGTGCGGCTTAAGCAAGCCAAGGCACAGGCTGAGGAGCGTGAGCCCCGTGAAGTTCCTCTTGTGCGTGAGCCCACGCAGCATGAAAGGTTGAAGCACTGTTTGACCCACTCGCCCTATCAGCCGTGGTGCGAGTTCTGTGTGATGCACAAAGCAAGGAGTGACAAGGCTGTGACGGCCATCGAACCCAAGCGTTCGGTGTCAGTGCTTTCGTTTGATTACGGGTTTACGGGCCGAGAGCTTGATCCAGAGAACAAACTTATCACGTTGTGCGTCAAGGACCGTGACAGTGGATGGAGGGAGTCAATCCCGACCAAGCGCAAAGGAGGACCAGAGAGTCTTCGCTACTTGACAGGTGAGATCGTCCGCCTGTGCAATGTTCTTGGTTACAATGATGTGACGATCCGCTCCGACCCGGAGCCCAGCTGCCGAAGCCTTCAAAATGAGATCCAGAAAGCTCGTGGCCGACTTGGGCAGAGAACGAGGCTTGAACAGTCTGGAGAGGAGGAAAAGTCCTCTAACGGAGCCGCCGAGGAGGCGGTGGCCGCCACGCGCCAGCAGTCTTGTGTGCTACTGAGTGCGTACGAGCACCATACAGGCAAGAAGGTGGGAAGCCAGCATCCGCTCCACGCGTGGGCGGTGCGTCATGGCAGTTGGATCCTCAACAGATACTGTGTGTCGCGTGACCAGCAGACGCCTTTCGAAATCACTTTTCAGTCGCCGTATACCGGGGAAGTTGGTTGAGTTTGGAGAGTGTGTCATGGCCATGTGCAGGACAGCTATGACGAACAAGCCTGTGAAGGGCTCTGCCAAATGGGTGCGGTCAATGTGGCTGGGAAAGGCAAATGCGAGTGATGGACACTTAGTTGTCACTGCTGGAGGCAAGCTTTTGATCACAAGGTCCATTCGCCGGACCTCCGAGCGTTGGGATGCCAGCCTTCATGACTGCATCAAGGATTTTCCATGGGACCACCCGGGTTTTGTGGCCGGTGGTCTTGGCAGAATGCGCAAGCAAAGGGAGCCCAAGGCAGTTGAGGCGGAGGCAGGTCCTGAGGCTGATGAGGTTGGTGTGCTCGGGCCTGTGAGCCCACTGCTACGTGCCGGTGACGAGGCCGGCTCCGATCCCGAGAGCAGCTCTCCCAGTGCAGACGTGCCGCCGAGTGGGGACGCAAAGGATGATGATAAGAGCGGTGCACACAGCAGCGACGATGCCAAATCAAGTGCCAGTGCCCCTACGCCAACCGCTGATGCACATGTGGAGCCGATGCAAGATGTCGAATCTGCGAGTGCTGAGCCTTCGGTGCCCATCGCAGGCGGGGATGGCGGGGACACTGAGTCCGCTACTCCTGTTGAGCGTCCAGCTAAGGCGGCAAGGCTGCAAGCTGTTGCACAGAACGACCTCTACCACAATGATGCACCTATTGAGTTTGATTTTCAGAATGGGGAGCTCGATGACTTTGAGGGATATGATTATGGTTTAGATGATTACTACTTCAGTGAGGAGCCTGACCTTGCTGATGGACCACCGGATGAGCTGTGGCGACCTTTCACCCCAGCTGAGCCAGAGCTGACAGAGGATGAACTGTTCAAGGTTGACAGTGCTGCGGATGACTTTGAAATTCGAAGGTTGCTGGAGATGAATGTGCTTGAAGCCATGACCGCGTCAGCAGCAGAGCAAGCTCAGCAAGAAGGTTCCAGACTTTTGTCTACTAAGTTTGTCCGCAGTTGGCGGATCAAGATGCGCAAGCTTGACAATGGGCGTGAGGAGCAGCAATACTTGAGAAGATCACGGTTTGTCGGCCGTGAGTATGCCTGGTTAGACAAGGACAGAACTGAGTTGTTTGCTCCAGCTTCAAGCAGCCTACTGACAAGACTACTCCCCAGTGTTTTTATGCGCAACAAAGACAACAACCATGCCTGTTGCGTCCTCGACGTAGCAGACGCTTTTCTTACCGTCGACCAGCGTATCCCTACAATTGTTCGTGCAAACTTGGGCAGCGGACATGAAGAGCAATATGTGCAGCACTTTCGTCTGGTGAAACTTTTACCTGGCCAGCGTGATGGCACAGTTCGCTGGCACGAGGCATTCGCCGAATTCCTCGACGGCAAGCTTGGTCTGGAGCCTTATGTGCCATGCCCTGCCCTTTTCAGGCTAAAGCAAGTTGATGTGTCAGGACTCCTTCACGTGGATGACCTTTTCAGTGAAGGAGCGCGCCCAGGACTTGAGACAATGGTTGCTTGTGTCAAGGAGAAGTACAAGGGCACCGTGAGTTGGCTGTGTGCACATGGGGATGAAGTTGGTTTCCTCAAGAAGAGCTACAAGCTGGTGAGAGATGATTTGCTGATCATCCAACCTCACCCTCGCCATGTTGAGCGTTTGGTTGAGATGTTCGGTTTGGGGCGCAGTGCGCCCAAGGCCAGCCCCATGCCAACAACAGTGCCGTTGGATGATGTCGAGTTGGACAGCGAGCGCAGCACACTGTTCAGGACCGCCGTGGGCATTTTGCTCCACTTGCAGGCCGATGTGGTGGAGGCCCAGTTTGGAATCAGATGGCTAGCTCAACATATGAGCCGGCCTACTGCTGGGGCACTTCGGGTGCTCCGACACATGATCCTGTACCTGAAAGGGACGAGCAGCTATGGCATTGGATTTCCTGTGCCCACTCGTGGTGTTGGGATAACTGTGCAAAGCAAGTCTGGACTGGATGTGCTGGAGACTCACACGGATGCTGATTGGGCCGGGGACCGCGAGCATCGCCGATCGGTTTCTGGCTGCGTGATTACCCTGAATGGGCACATGCTCAGCAGCAGCAGCAGCAGGACACAGAATACTATAGCGCTCAGTTCCGGGGAGTCTGAGTATGCAAGTGCGGTTTCGGGGACATGTGATCAAGTGTTCATCCGGAATGCTGCTGAGTTTGTGATGCGAAGCAAGGTGGAATCGCAATCTGTTGCTTGACAGTGCAGCTGCAAGAGGCGTGATAGCGCGCCAAGGGGCCGGGCGTATCCGGCACCTGGAAGCTAAGATGTTGTGGTTGCAACAGTATGCGCGTGAACATCTGTGTGTGCACCCTGTGGATGGCAAGCACAACATTGCGGACTTGGGAACCAAAAGCCTGAATGGTGGACGTATCAAGGCCTTGCTCTACAAGGTTGGAGTGCGTGATAGCCGCGATGACTTCGCGCTTGTTGGTCATGATGAGTTCCAGAACCTCTTGGATGGGAGTACAGTGCGCAAGTTGGTGCGTTTGGTGAAACAGCAAGGGAATGTGGGCAACTCAGTTGGGTTGCAAGTGGCCATGATTGTTTTGTCGCACGCCTTGAGTCAACACGCCGTTGCAGCAGCAGCTGACACCGGTGATGAGCCAAACGGCGAGAATGCAGATGCAATGCACAGCAGTTTTCAGCAAGTGTTGGAGATTGTGTTGATGTTGGCCGCTTTTGCAGGTGAGTATGCCCAAAGGTACCCAGTAGCCACAACCGCTGTAGTGCAAGGGTTTATGTGGTTGATAGTGTTGTGCCTGGGTTGGTGCCTGTGCAGCAGAAGCAAAGTGCAGCTGAGCATGCGTGGTGATGCGTCAGGACATGGCGAGACCTCTCCTGCATCGCCACGTGGTGCCAGGAGCAAGCGGATGACCTAGCCGCCGCCCAGGCGTGAGGATGATGATGAGCCTCGTGTGGACAGCGAAGAACGGAATGCAAGCGGTGGCCCAGCAAGCAGCAGCCACGAAGTGCCAGGCCGCCTGAACTTCAATGTGCCGTTGACCCCGGGTGCATCGGTCAAGCTTGAAGTTTCAAGTGGAGATGGGAGCAAGCATTCAACTGCTGATGGAAGCGCGGGAGCACCCAGTGTGTCAGGCAGTGCAAGCGAACATGAATTCCCGCGTGCAAGGCGTGAGCCAGTGCGACCCAAGGCCAAGGCAATGAACAGAGCCGACGACGAAGTCTGGGTGTCTGGATCCCAAGGCTACTGCTACCACAAAGCAGGTTGCGGCAAGTTGAACCAAAGCCACGCCGTGACCTCTACGACGAGAAGTGAAGCTGAAGGCCGCGGGTACCGCGGATGCCGCATATGCCGTCCTTGAATCTTGTGGATTGCTTGGAACCTTAATGCTCATGATGCCCATCCCTTGAGTGGGCAGCTCGTCGCTGTTCATTGATCGGATGGATCTTGTACAGTGGCGGCGTGGTTGCATGTACATAGCCTTGAGGTCGACATTTGGGAGCGGTAGTGCATTTTGCACATGGAACCGCATGCGAAATGGATTTCGCTTATCACCATTTTGGTGACAATACTTTGCATATGGACCCGACGACGATGGATGTGGAGCATCCTGAAACCGATGACGCTTGTGGAGCGTCCGATGGTAACTAGGCCATCGCAGTCCTGTGTGTGGAGCAGTTCTTTAAAAGATCGTGCCATGGACAATCCTTGAAATTCTTATGTGGTCGCAAAGCACAGTTGAGCCATTTGGAATCTTGGACAAAGGCCTACGCTTGGGTCAGTCAAGCAGTTCCTTCGTCGGCAGCCCATGCCTTCTGAAGGAATGTAACTAGTTGTAGCTACTTGTACAGCGTAGCTGATGCGCCAAAGACCTCGATGGCAGTGCGCAAACGTGACAAATCGTCTGAAGCTGTAGGAGTCTGTGGAGCTTTAAACAGCTGTTGTTTCATACTTTGGAGGCAGCGACAAACTTTGATAAAGAGCATTCACGAAGTCGTTCGCTCTTTAGGCGGGGTGCTAAAGTTTGTACCCCCTACTTGTACCTCATTTGTAAGCTGCCGTACTGAACTAATTTGCATGCTGTTTTCTCTTTGCTCCACTTTAGACTGTGAGCCCAATACGGAATACGCGACTCCGCAGGCGTGTGAATCACTGGAAAAGTTTAGCAATTTAGCAGAGGAGACTGCAAGGCGACAAGGCTATCGCCCGTGCTACGTTTGCTATCCTGAAGCTCGACCTGGAAAGAAGCGAGCAGAAGAAGAAGAAAGCAATGTGGACGATGAAGAATGGGAGCTTGCAACAGAGGAAAGTACGACAAGTGGAAGTTGTACTCAAGTATGTGCATGGTGCCAGGAAAGAGTGTGTTCAAGGAACAAGATTGGACACCAGAACTGTGCATGCAGCGAATGCATCAGAGAGTACGCGGAAAGCCAATGGAAGAAGAACTATGACCAGAGCCCAGCCGGACAAGGAGACCACAGTTGGAACGAAGGTGGTATGCGAAGGAGGAACACCCAAGGAGAAAGTAGTACTCAGAGAACGGAACGTTGGAGTACATGCCGCCAAGGTTGTGTGGTGGTAAAGGAAACCGACGAGTTGGAACCCGAACGGGAACACAGAGGAGGACCGAGCCCTCAATTCCCGAGAGCACGTATGAAGACACTGTATCTGAAGGAGGAGAAGTTTCACTTGAAGAGATGGGACGACAGACGATCCCAGCAGAAATCACGGAACAGTATCACCGTGAGACTGGCGTGGAGCCAGGTACGCCTGACTCGACAGAAGGACGCACGGAAGGACCACCCGCGTTCTACTGCAAGAGGATGTATAGTGTCCCGTAAGATCTACCTCGAGAAGACCACGAGTAAGCAGAAGTGAGTGTAGGCAGGAGTTTCACCCAGCCAACGCTACGCGCGAAGCGAAAGGAAAGCCCCTGCAAGAGCAGCCAGACGAAATGTGGTTGCCATGCCTGGATGGTGCGAGGTATGTGTTACTGTACTTGATGTCTGTGGACAAGGCCTTTTGGACAAATC